CTTTCCACTTCTTCACACGCAATATCCAAGTAGATCGAACGAGCTAACAGCCTGATCGACAAGGTCACAACAGGGGGCTGGACCGGTTGCTTGACCCGAATATGGTTAAACACACGGCTGTCGGTCGGGGTTTCGTATTTCGGAATTATAGAGCGTTAACCGCTTGTAAGCCTCACTTTTGTTGTCATGAGTTAGAATCCCAACAAGTCGGTCGAGTTTATCAAAATTGGTTCACACGCATTATTCAAATCTGCCAATGCACCCATTATAAATATAGATTCAAAAAATACAAAATTTACCTTGTCAGGTTTAGTTAACGGGGTTAACGAGGTGTTCATATAAAGTTTTTGATGTCATTACTAAGTTAAATTATTTTTAAAACATTATTCTTTTGTGGGTTGCAACTTCTATCCTATGCAAGAAGGCCAATGGCAACCTTAAATTTTATCCACTTTATATGCAAGTTTTGTTTGCAGTTATGCCTTAGCAAATACTCTCAAATGTACGGAGCGGATGCATGATAATTTATTTGTACTTTCACGTTCATAATTAAAAAACAGCAACACTGAATTACTATTGTTATCATAAAGATTTTTTACCCAGCTTGCTCTTTATGCAAAATGGGAAATCTGATGCAAGAAAATGCATTTAACTCCAAATGGCGGGGAGCGGTAATTAGTGCTTTAGTGAACGTTTTCATGCAGTTCCTAACAATTCCCGATGGGACGATGGCAAATGAAGCCATATTTTTAAAAAGATGATTGATGAATTAACTTACGGTTCGGGGTCGGGGACTTCCGTTTGATTCTGTTGCATTAGCTGTACCAAGTACAGTCTCCTGCGAATGTCCCATCTCATATCAAAGTGTCTCAGTTTGTCTTGAATATCGCCTTGAACTGGCAGAAGGTTGGCAACCTCTGAAATTGCAAGAATTATTTATTTTTGTTGGTTATTTAATCTAGATTCAAATGAAATACAAATTTCAGAATTTCGAATCGCAGTAACACTCTATCTTGGCGGGAAACGAAAATAGGAACGCTCCGTGTAACACAATTGTTCTTAAAACAAATTCCAGGAAGGGTAAATGTTTCGGTGTCGTAGACATAGCACTAAGCTTAATCCAAACCTTCACTTTAGCCAAACTGATTACCGTAAGTTACAGGAAAGTTGGCGTAATACCATGCGTATTCTGGCGGCTTCTGTTCCCACATCCGAACAAGACGGCATATGAGCAGTGCCTATCATGTGGTAAACCAGGCATTAAAACACTGGAGCTTGGAATTTAATCATTCCAGTGGACGGCAAATTATAGTTTATCTTTTTGTGCTCTGGTAGCTCATAGCGGAACCCTTCACGAATAACGTTGAGGGGTAGTACACAGACATCATGCTTATCTACCTCTACACCTTAGTATGTTTTTGTGAAGAGCTAACGAATCAGCGTAAGCCGTGTTTATAATTTTCGAGAAGCATATCTAATTCTTATTTCAAATCATACTGCTTGCATGCGTCTGCTAGTAATGACTTCTATTCGAACAAAAGATGAATTTTGCAGCCTGATACACCCTCAGATATTAACTGGTGTGTTACAAGAAAGAAAAAAAATAGTAGTTCTCTTACCTGTTTGCGCATCAAGTCGTCGCATCCGTGACCCCGAACGGACAAATCGACAGTGGCTGCCATGTATCCCATCACACTTCCTGCTCTCTTCCAGGAATGGACACCGCTCACCGCCATTCTTTGGGGATTCAATAATGACTCGCGATCGTCGTTGCCTGCCCTGTCCGCAGGCATTGCTGCAAGGACTCCAGTTTGTCCAGGCGGAGACTCTGCAGTCGACTTCTGTAGCAGGTTTAAAACAATATTAGTAAGAACTTGCTCGTTTTGCCACGATTACTTACAGTGCTGGTTCAGGAGCATACTAAGTAAATGTGAACTGCAAAAGAGACGTCTCGCATAAGGTCGAGAACTGAGAGAGGAAAGGTGCGAAAAAGTAAGGATAACTGAAAACTCCCGTAGTGTAAACAAAACCACTGGAGGAGAAAATGGCTAGGATAATGTGTTTGGTCAGCAAACTTAATATTTGCAGCAGCATCAGACAGGAACGACTAAAACGATGAGATGTCCCCTGGCTTTGTCCGTCTCTGACCTATGAAACAGGCCTATGCTTGCAAGCATGAACGAATCATATTGCAAAAATTTTGTTCAGCAAGGTTTTTGCATATGCAGTTTTAAAGACAAAAATATTACCCTTTCCAAACAGTCACAAACGAATTAAATCAGGCGTCCATGATATTTGTTGTTTATGTTTTAGTTAAGATAATGCCAAGTGGAATCGCAGACTTATTTTCACCGATATGAACATGTTTTCATAATGCATGAGCCACTTTAGATGATGACTCGAGTTTTTCTGTTTAAAGAAACTAGTTCTTTTTTAAACCGACATTTCAAATGACAAGCTGCAAGTAAGCAGGCTTTGCTCACCATGCGGCCCAGATGTGTGTGATAATTTCTGACTCGAAAGGTAGAGCAGCTTTGCTGCACAGACTTTTAAGCCAACAACTAGGTTGAATTCAACAGAATATTTAAACTTTAAGCTAATTTTACTGGCTGCTTTTAAAAAACAGGAAACATGCACAGCCGGGAAATGTGTGGAAGGATTAAGTATGTGTCTTCCCCTAAATTGGGCACGGCAATAAGAAAACCCTGCCTAGGTAAGAAAGGTAGCCCTGGGTATAAGTCCAGGGTAGGCAAATATTTCTAGGTCCTAACCCTAACGCTACGGCCAACATAAAACCAAATTGAAGCTATAATATTATGTTTGTCCATACCCTTAGCCCTTTACTACAGTTAGCATTAATCCTAACCTACACTTAACCATATCCCCAACTCTATTCCTAATCTCAAACCTAAACTTCAACCTAAACCCTCGCCGAACCTTAACCCTTTTTTCAATGGAATTTCGCGCAAATCCACGGGGGTGTTCGTATTTTAATGCCCTGTTTAGGTAATCCCTTCCGGAACGTTTGCCATCAGATGGAATTAAATAGATATAGTTAAAGGTAGTATTGTGTACATAATGCATCGTTTCGAAGGTTCATTTGTTTATATTCTGTAGGTTCCTTTCGGCGTCATTTACACTACCCATTCAGATCAACTCGTACTGCAAAATGTTTCGACGGTCGGTCTAGAAGTCTTAATACAAAAAACCTGAGTCCTTTTTATTTCAATTTAAACTTAAAACAAGACATTGGGCGTGAGTTAAGTCTCAAGATAGCTGGTCCCATAGGTTACTCATTTACCAGCAAGTGATGGTCGAGACAGTGAAAGGTAATTTATCACGCATTAGTTTTAGGAGAAGAATAGGATTTCTCGTTAATCAACGTTTGCAAATCCATGGTTTGGGCATATGTGATAGTGCTGGTAAAATTTCGGGAAATTCCCCCTGGAAAGTAGACGAATGAATAATAAATAAATAAACAAGAGAAATGGCGACCGAAACTTAACCAATAAAAATGCTCGGCCAAATGATCGGTTTTCCCTCTTTTGTCGCATTCCGCTCAAAACATATTTTCATGGTACGTACGTTAGAAGATAGGCAAATTGTTTCAGCAAAGTAATCTACGAAAACGTAGACCAACAGAAAAAGCATGCATACGATACAACCTTTGCAAGTCAGAAGGCAGCTTACTGGGTTTATGGCAGAGCTGTCGGTAGTCCGGACAACAGTCCTGCGTAAGGAGGCAAGATTCGTCACAATGGCAACGCCGATAACTACCAAAGGCTTTTTGCGATGGACGAGCCCTGAAGGCATAAAAGGAGGCATAGAGCGGTTGCTGCCCCAGACAGTCCGCTTGACGCCCAACGCAGCACTTTGCACTGCCGTCAGCATTTCGGCACGATCCCCTCAGCTCTTCTGCCATTCCTGGTCTGCTAACGAGCAAGCACACCAGACAGAGCAACTGCATTGGTAGGAGCATTCTGTACTGCCCAGGTCCTCTCTTGTGTGGGTGTAGTGCAACAACAAGGCGGTTTTAGGTCTAGGTCTAGGTTTTCGCCGAAGTACTGCTTTTATACGGGGTTATCTGGCTTCTGATTGGCCAGAAGTTCAGCAGGCCAGCTTTGGTGCGGAGTGGCCAGAACACTGTGCTTCTTCAGCAAATCAAGGCCTAGTCTGTGCAACTGTGATTATATCAGAGGGCAAATTCGACAGTCAGATTGATGTAGGGAGACTGGGAGTCTAACTTATGATGACTAGAGTATCCTTCTGAAGTGAACTGAATGCTAGATAGGACGAAATTTAAAATTACTTTTTTTTAGGAATGTGAAGTGTTTTAGCAGCTTGGTTTACACGAAATTAAATTCGTAGGTTTCTCCGAAATAAGCAGCTAAATATGTTCAAATAAGCAAGTAGTTCATAAACAAAAAGACAGAACTACTTCCGGCACCGAAGTGTATTTTTTCTAAATATGAATAGCAAGTTAATTGCAAAGAATCCCTTTCGAACTACTTCATAACACGTATTTTTATGCTTTTGGACATTGATATTGAAAGGATTTTTGCGAAAGGTGAGTTTCAATAATACACAACCACTGTTCCGAAAGGAATTTTATGAAAATGAAAATCATTCGAAAATTGTGCTATTTCGATGAAGAACAATTATTAAACTAAAAGCTTTTTTTGCAGGGTGATGCCTTACTTTCTGTTCTTTTTTCCTCGTCTGCGGCCGCTTTCCACTCTCTCACACCGAGTACTACTAGACCCGTTTTCTTGTGTTTTATTTTGAATGCACACAATCTACTTTGGGGGTAAGAGCCTTACTGCATAATCGTTCCTCACGTATTTATGGTCCGTATTTTGAACTAAAGAAATTTACAGTTTAATCATTTTTAAATATTGACGTTAATGAATTCACCTGCAGTAGATACGACATATACAATTTATTTTTCAATAAAATCTAGCAATCGTGTAAAATAAAGACAACACAATGTAACAAGCTATCCTACCTAGAAATTATTTTGCTTAGATAGAAAGATGGTTCAATAGAGCGCTTTGTTTCCCACAAAAATACCCAGAGAGGGCAATACCTATACTTTTTTCATTCTTCAGCCAATGCAATGTAAACAAAATCTGGCACCGAATATTTGTTCTAGTGAGACCCTAGCTGCAGAAATTTTCCGCATCACAGCACCCCTACTTAACTGTGGCTATCTGCAACGCTTCATTTAAATTACAACAATTTTTTACGACCAAAAATAACGAAGCACTCAGTTGCAAAAGATAGTTGCTTTATCTTTACCCTTTAAGTGTGATAATATTTTGCACACAGTCAAGCGAAATTTTCGCTGCACCAAAGAAAAGGCATACAATTAATCTTCCTCAGTCCTACTAAAAGCCTTCTTATAAAAAGGGCAACGGATGCCTTGCACTTGCATGCCACCCCAATTTGTGTGTATGAATTCACGTGTACTTGCAGATGCGAGTACAGTGGACACATGAACAAGCAATTGGCAACCAGGGCCGCTGATCATTTGCCTAATTGTCTTTAAAGCAAGAAAATAGAGTACAATGGTCCTCGTTTATTAAATTATGCTAGACAGTGGTCACTTTATCGACCTCAAAACAGCTTTCCGAGTACTTTTTCCGTCATGAAAAATCAGTTCTGTGCTTCTTGGAAGCAGCCTATGCAAACAACTAGACAATTTGGTCAATCTCCCATAGCCCTAGTGATCCTGCGCCTAGATTTAACCACGTCCGTGCTTCCTTTTAACTTTCTTGACCCCTTTTCTTTCCTTCTTATATGTCCTTCATTTGATCATTATTTACAATGAACTATGGTCCTTACTCTTTTCATTGACATTCTGTGAAAAGTTAAACTGCTTCCATTCGTAAACTTAATCATGCAAAGCCAAAATGCAGTTGACAACCTGTCGCGAAATTTAGTTATTTCAATTCATTTTGTTGTAGATGCCTGACTTAGAATAAAACTGTCGCGTAAATGAATTTTCTTCGGTCACCCGGATATGCGCATGGCAAATCGAAACGCTAAATAATTCCCTTCTGGTGTATCCTTTGTTCAAACTTACCAGCTGTAGTTCGCCAGCATATTCAAATATTTGGGGCAAATGTGAGGAGAAATCCTTTTTAATGGTTGCTGCAAGTCATTCACCTCTAAAACGTATTTGTCTTTCACCTGCAGTTAAATGGGTCAGTCATATGAAAAAAAGTAAGAGAGTAATAATTTGCTGCTGGATTTGCAGCTCCAGTTCGTCACATCTGTCATCGCGGCGAATACTAAACTCAACAAATTGATTCCTTCTGTCAAAAAAATGTGTCGAGCTTGAAAAGAAATGTTCCTGATTGACAAAGTCAACCATTGAGAATTTGAAGAGGACTCGATCGCTGGGACAACATGTTTATTCATCTGACGTTTCGAAATCCGTCGCGGATTCATCTTCAGAAACATATTCACAGAACAGTAGCAGAAACAGTTTGCGTGTGCACAGGGTCGCCGTAAAATTTAAACGTACAGAAATAATCGATAAATGCCCTGAGTGTGGTTTGATTCGTTGTGTCAGCCATGACTATCTGGCCTTGTGGTGTTGGCATTAGATGATGTAGTGGCCCGTCTGTTCTCCGATAGGCGATTTGCTTCCTCCAAATTTAGTCTCAGTACCGTATATGGATTGGGCAAATCGTTGCACTTGTT